GCCACCCTGGGAAAGCCATGTTCCAGCTTCTTCCCTCTGGCAGAAGATATCGGTCACTGAGATGCAAGACATCTCGCTATGCTAACAGCTTCTTTCCACAGGCTGTTAGGTGCCTAAACAGAGCATTTTAATTCCTGCTTTTACCCCTTGTATGGTTTTGTTGATCGGTGCCACAGTGTCAGCTGTTTTTTTATTATTTTATATTCAGTGTATGTGTATTTATATTACATTGTATCGTGCTTTTTATTCTGTCGGTGCACACAGAGTACCTCTTTTTGCAAATGTGTTCCAATGTAGTTTTTATACTGCACATGGCCAATAAATGAATCTGAATCTGAATCTGTGTGTTTGCGGGCCTTCACTCTCACCTGTGTGTGTGTGTTTGCGGGCCTTCACTCACACCTGTGTCTGTGTGTGTGTTTGCGGGCCTTCACTCTCACCTGTGTGTGTGTGTTTGCGGGTCTTCACTCTCACCTGTGTGTGTGTTTGTGGGCCTTCACTCTCACCTGTGTGTGTGTGTGTGTTTGCGGGCCTTCACTCTCACCTGTGTGTGTGTGTTTGCGGGCCTTCACTCTCACCTGTGTGTGTGTGTGTGTTTGCGGGCCTTCACTCTCACCTGTGTGTGTGTGTTTGCGGGCCTTCACTCTCACCTGTGTGTGTGTGTGTGTTTGCGGGCCTTCACTCTCACCTGTGTGTGTGTGTGTGTGTTTGTGGGTCTTCACTCTCACCTGTGTGTGTGTGGGTGTGTTTGCGGGCCTTCACTCTCACCTGTGTGTGTGTGTGTGTTTGCGGGCCTTCACTCTCACCTGTGTGTGTGTGTTTGTGGGTCTTCACTCTCACCTGTGTGTGTGCACTTGTTTTCAACTCCTGGTGGGTTCCATAACCTGAGATTCCACTCACGTCATGGGGACTGGTTTTACGTGGTGGGGCCCGAACACCGGACCCCACTGGTCCAAGCTTAATAATCAATGGGTAATGCTTTTCTAACGGTCCTTATGCAGTCTCTGTAAAAATATGGAAAGGACCCCTGGAGGTTTACTTTCCTGAAAAAAGTGTGTTATGTGTCGGAACCCTGGTGGTGGGTTGCGGGATATCAAGGAGGGGCACACTGGGGCAATTTCAGTCCAGCAGGCTGGAGCCAATCATGGAGCAGCACAACAGAGGAAATCAGGTGTCAGGCTAGAAAAAGGTGCAAGTGTGTGGTTCATTAGGCTGCAAGAAATCATGGAGGAGCACACTGAAGCGCACGCTTACAAACCACTGGTAAGTGCTGACTACAAGTCATGACTTCAAATTGTTATATAGAATGATTACAAATTATTTGTTGTTTGTGCAGCTTAGTCAAGAGTCCCTAATTGATGAAGTCGACTCAGATTCTGACGATTTAACTGTCAAGAAGAAACCTGTAAAAAAGTATGGAAAAAGAAAAATCAAAAACACTTTTCTTCAAGACTCGGAAAGTGACGAACCAAAGGCAAATAAGATTGTTATCATGCAGCTGCAAAAGAAGAAAAATGGGGGGCGAGTATACAGCAAGAGACACTTCTGCCTCTACTGTTCAATGTCCTGCCACAAAAATGTCCCGTCATTTGACTAGAAAACATGGAAATGAAAGTGACGTAGCCAGAGCATTGGCTCTACCTGTGAAATCTAAAGCACGTAAACTTCAGTTTGATTTGATCAGGAATAGTGGAAACCGTGAGCACAATTTTGAGGTTTTAAAGGCCGGCATTGGAACTTTAGTCCCAGCTAAACAGCCAAATTGCCCAGTTAAATCCAGTGAGTTTTTGCACTGTATAGACTGTGGGGCATTGCTTAAGCGAAAGTCGCTGTGGAGGCATGTGGCCAGGTGCCGGCTTTCACAGAAAGATGCCCAGGCTAAACCAGGTAGAAGTAGGGTCCAGTCCCTCTGCTCCCTAGCCCAGCCTGTACCGGAGGGCATCAGCAAAAAGCTGTGGTCTTTAATTTCGGCAATGCATCAGGATGAGGTCACGGGTGTTGTCAAAGCAGAAAAGGGGATTCTGAGACTCGGAGAGCACCTGTACTTAAAACACGGGCATGATAAGACAAAGCATGATTACATTAGGCAGAAAATGAGAGAAGTCGGTAGGTTAATTAACGAAGCAAAAACCGCAGGGAAACTGAAAACAATTAAGGATTTCTTTATTCCTTCCAACTTTAACCATGTGATTGATGCAGTCAGGTCTGTGGCTGGATATGATGAGGAAACAAATCAATACAAGACTCCATCCTTGGCCCTCAAACTCGGCCATAGCCTCAGAAAGCTAGCAGATATTCTTGAATGTGACTCAAAAATGGAGCATTGTGTTGATGAACTATTTATTAAAAACCTCCAACGAAGCCGGCTGCTTTTTGAGAAGAGGTGGGACGTCTGTGTTTCTTCTGCTGCCCTACAGACCCTCCGGCAAGCCAAGTGGAACACTCCGGACCTGCTCCCTCTGACTGAGGACGTTAGAGCCATGCATGCACATATTGAGGT